AAAACTCCTGGCAAACCTCTTTGGAATATGGTGACAGCTCATTCCATAGTTTGCTAGAAACTTATCTACCAAGTGATGCAAAAGGCTCCAGCTGTGAGCTCACAGTAGGAATGGAATGCACTGTAGAGTAATCAGCCCTGGTATGTGGAACATATGACTCAGCAGACCCTATGAAACTAGATGTATCTGTGGTGAGCAAAGTTGCCATGTAGAGTTTATGGCAAACCTTAATAGCATCACTATGTAGGGCCCTGTAGTTCTAGAGTAAAGTCATAACATCTGTAATAGATGCTCATGCATCATTCTTTATACATTCTGCTCATGCTTTCTGACAGAGGATTTGTCCTTGGGAGATTAGAATACTATGCATATACTGTTCATCAGGAGCTTTGTTCTGTCAGACCACTGAGTTATAAGTTTAGATGGGGCCAGTCCTAATCCATCAGGAGATGAAAATGTTGCATCCAGCATTAAGTGCAAGCAAGGCCAGAGGCAACTTAATAGCAGAGCAGGTGCAAGTATGGCAATTGGTCATTCAGTATAAAACTCTGGTCTGAGTGATCTATGGATCAGCTCAGCTATGACAGCAGCATCACCAGCTTGGGAATAACCTCCCCAAATGATGCAATGCCATCTTCTAAGGTGTGAAGAAATCAGCCATTTTTACATAGTGATGCATCCCTAATAAGCAAAGGACATTTTAATCTATAATGCAGGAATGGCCATATTTACTATCATTTCTGGGAACCCATTCAGGAATTTGGGGTTCCTTTTCACACAACCCTAGACTTTGCAGGATGGCTGAGGTCTTTATTATCAGAGGAGAAAGATTCCTACCAAGGATCACAGCAAGATCTTACCAAACCTATCTATTGCTGACATCTTTTCACTCCAGTCTTTAGATCATGAGATGAACAGGCAAGGACAAGTGCCCCGATGAGTAGGAGGTAGGGTTTCTGTTGCACAATCAGGACAGGAAAGTGTCACCTACGTGATCCACTGCGTGTCTTTTGATGCTCCTCTGCATCAAAAATAGGAAAGTGCAGCAGCTACAGGCTAAGAATATCATAAACACAGGGGCTCAGGCTCCTCTATGAGGATGATCTGGATCTTTCCATGACACACACCAGGAAAGATACTAGCTGAGGTTTAGGAAAATCAAGAATCTCAGGAAAGGAACAGAAAAGCTAGTATGAGTTGCATTCCCAGGAATAATTATAATAATTATATAAATATAATAATTATATGCCAGAAACCATAGTTACTACCATTAACCTGCTTCTTGAAAGATTTTCCAGGTAACAAAATATACCAGAATTATAGAGAAATGGTACTAGATAGGATAAATGTGTTACATAAGGGCTGATCAAAATCTGCAAAGAACATTTAATTTTTAAAATGTTTATTACGGTAAAAGACACATGGCCATTAATACCCCCTCTCACTTTAAACATACTTATCCTATTGCCCTTGCCATTTCTGAAGCAGTTCTTGAAGTCCTCTTTCATGAGTATCTAATAATAATTGGACAAAAAGGCCTGAATAAATTATCTTTATAGATGTTTGTTTCTTAGAGGGTCAACCATGTTGAAAAGGACAGGACAGAATCTCTGTAGTAAGGTAAGTTTCCCATTAACAACCACCCATTATGACAGCAGAAATCTCAGGGCACACTGGACAAAATCAAAAAATATGTATGTCAGTAGATTTTTTTTTCTATGTCAATTTAAGTCTATGTGTATCACAGAAATATGATCATTTGCCTTCCTTTGAAGGAAAAACTACTAATGAGTAATTTACTAATATGGGAACCAGGTTTCTTCTCCTGATTAATTCTGCCATTTCTCCTCGTATTATCCAAAATTTCACCAAAAGATCATGAATATGTAAATATTCAATCACTGTGTTGAAGAGATGTATGCACCCTTATTGTAACATATTCACAGGGACCAAGGAATGGAATCAACTTAAGTGTTCATCAGTGGATGAATAAATAAAGCATAGTACATATGTACAAAGAAATACTATCTAGCCCTTAAAAGGAGTGCTATGATTTGTAACAATATGAACGAACCCAGAGGACAGTATATTAAATGAAATAAGGTAAGTGCAGAAGACAAATACCACATGAATATGTGGAATCTAACAAAAAGTTGAATTTAAGGTAGAATAATGGTTACCAGAGGCTGGGTAAAGGGTTTGAGGAGATGTTGGCCAAATGATACAAAATTTCTATTAGTAAGATGAATAAATTCAGTTGTTTTAGAAAAAATGATGACTATACTTAAAAATGTATTACATTGCTGAAAATCCCTGATTAAATTTTGTGTCCTCACCACAAAAATAAGTGAATTAACACATATATTAAGTAGCTTAATCTAGTCATTGCAAAGTGTATACATATTTCAAACCAAATATGTAATTCACAGTTGTTGATTAAAATAAATAAATTATAGAAAATCATTGATAAACTGATGATAGATTTTTTTAAAGGACACAGCTAAATGGATCTCTATTTGAAATCAATCTTTAACATAGAGCTAAAGAATGATTTTTTTGCATTAAGATAACATGAAAGTAGAAGCAAGTGTTTGAGGTCACAGAATGAAAGATATGTTTACTATTTATAACTAATCTGTACACACTGCATATTTCTTGAGCACTTATGAAAAACGTTCTGGCAGGCATTACGGACCTATTTGAAAAAGAATGTGTTGAACTACCTGTCCTGCAAAGGAATGCAAACTGAATTAAGAAAGAGCACAAATGTAGACAAAGATAAAGCATTATATGTAATATATACATGAAATAAAAATTACGATAGAAGCTAGTAAATAAATGTCATGTAAATGATATAAATAAAAGAAAAACACAATTGCCACTGACTTGTGAAAACAATGACATTTTATAGTCAACTAAGAGAAGGCTTAAGACTTCCAGAGTGAAAATAGCTCCCTGAGAGCAAGAACTGTAAGTCAACATCCCTAAAATATCATTTTGGCATGTGAATGACAACAATGTCAGCTGCAGTTTCTCTGAATAAGAAGGGATATATATGAGACATATAGGGCAAGAGAATGATGGCAAAAATAATCATTCCACTGACAAGTTATGGAGTCCATATTTGGCCAGAAGCACAAATGTCAATGTAATTCTTATGTGGAACAAGTACAACTCAGGGGATGTAATCATAAAACAACTTTGTATTAGTTTCCTCTCTCCACTTAAATTTGTCTCTAGGGTGCTTCTTTCTCTGTTCCTGGCAGGCTCCATGACATTTCTCCTCACTCAAATAATAAAACATTCTACAGTTGAGTTAAATCACACAAAAAGGGCTCTGTTCAGTAATTAGCATGATTAATGGCAAGTAATATTTAAATTCCAAAATGCATTAAGAATTTGGACTCCTCTCCTCCCCTTGTAGCATGTGAGACATCTATATAGGAAGAAAGTTGACTTCTGTCCTATCCTATCTAAGGTGTCCATGCTCGCTTTACCAGCTTGCTCACCATAGTTTCTTTCCATTTGGGACTGGTACCTGGGAGAGAGAACATGAAAGATGTCAGGAAATGTCATAATCGGCTAATAAAGGCACAGATTGGTGTTGGTCCTCTCTGAACATTTTAGTTTAAAAATGGTATTTTAGCTCTGTCTGTATGTCTGTCTGTCTGTCCATCAGTCAGTCTGTCTCTTCAGCACTTTCCTGTCTCTCTCCTGGTATTTTCATGGTGTCTTTAGAGAATTCCCATCTTCAGAAGATTTTTTTCTTGAAGTGTATTGGAAAAGGTCAAATGCCTGTCTATTCTGGCTTCATAGCTTACTTCTTCATCGGCTTCTAGGCATCTAGTTATGTCTTTAGCTTTTCTTTCCAGATAGTCTTGGATAGGGTTTAAAATGAGCCATGTTAATCTTGTCTCATATAAGGCCTAGATGGTCCAAAAGCATCACTCATATATCTATATATGTCTCGGTGGTTAAGAGCTATCTGTTGATCAGCTTTGTCTTTGTCACGTTTGGGCTGCCTTATAAACTACCTCCAACTGGGTAATTTATGAATGGCAGAAATTTATTGCTCATAGTTCTAGAGGGTATGAAATCTAAGATCAAGGCCCCCAAAAGATCTGTGTTTGGTGAGGGCTTGCTCTCTTCACTAAGGTGCTTTTTGCTCTGTCCTCACATGTCAGAAAGGGTAAAGAAATTTCCTCTGGGCTCATTTTTAAGTACACTTTTCCCTCCCCAGAATCCCACTTTCTAATACTTTCCAAACTTCCAATACCATGGTACTGGGACTAAGTTTTGACAGAAGAATTTGGGAACACAAACTGTCAGCAAACTCCTTTAGAAGTTTTAACTGCTGGGGATTTAGCTTAGTGGTTCTGTCGCCTGCCTTGCAAGTGCAAGGTCCTGAGTTCAATCCCCGGTACAAAAAAAAAAAAGAAGAAGTTTTATCTAATCTTCCTTTTGTTTGGATTGCCTCTGAACCACAGTTGAAACTTAACATTTCACCATTTTTTGTATCAATTTAGTAAATTAAGACAATAAGCAATATGAGTTTGATTAAAGTAGTCAACTCTTAAACCCCAGCCTTCTAGTCTTTTGGGGATGATTAATGAGAATATTTATATGTAGCACTTAGGACGTGATCTGTCACGTAGGAGCTATTATTATTTATTCTGTGTAGAGTCATTTGGTTTCAAAATCAGAAAATATATATTTATGTATACTTTCTTAAGATGTATCATTCTTGTAATTATCACTGTACCCAAAGATTTTAAAATAGTGTCTAGTGACTTATGAAGTTGCTGAAATGTTTATTCTCTCTTATATAAGTTTGGATACTTTTAGTGTTTTATTAACTTTCTTAGCATATAGTTTTCCTCTTTCTTTTCTAACTTCTGACTTTATCTGAAGAGGAAAAAAAGGGGGGTTTATTAACATGCTCTGATGTATATGTCCTTTCCCAACATTGCTTTTTACAGGAAAAATATCTTTTGGTGATGGAAACAGAGTGGTGTGAATAGGACAACAGTAAATCTGTCCCCAAGCCACTTTCCAACTGTAAATCATCATTATATGGGATTGACTTTCTGCTCATGGTGACACTTTACCCGGTGAAGTGAGCGGAAGGATTGGAAGTAATTTCTACAATATCAGCCTCTTTGGTGTGATTCATTTCTGCTTTCATCACAGCAAGTGGAAGGTTGGTTTCTGCTTCTGAGAATCTAAAGATGGCAGTCCCACAACAATAAAAACTCCAGACATCACTGTATCTCCCACATTGTCAGATTTTTCTCAATATAAAATATTTTGTTTCCTTTCCTTGAATATCATAAATGTCTCACTCCACTTTATTCTGTATCAAAGTGTTACTGTCAACATTTCTAATAATTTTATTAACCTCATAAGATGCTTGATTTTTTTGTTTAAAGAACAAACTATTCAGTTTTTTTCTTTTTAAAAAGTTTTTACTTAACTTTTACAAGAATGTTCTGACTTTGGTTGTATAGATTTGATAGATTCAGATACATTGTAAGTAAAGTATCTTAACATCTAATTTCAAGTTTTAAAACTATGTAATTCAGCAATATTTTCTTAAAATGTAGCTGTTTTCTTCTTCAGAAGCTCGTTTTCCAATATGCCCTATTTTTGTCTCTTTGTAAATGTCTGTTTATTTGTGTGATAAAAAGCATTTTTATCTCATGTTTTTAATTTAAAAAGTTTTCCCTTTGATTTTCTACTTTTCTTAAAACATTAACTGGCGTGTTTGTTAACTCATGTGTTGTTTCTGATTTAGCTTTGATTTCTGATTTATTTTTCACTTCTGATTGTTTCCTGAGTTCTGGCTTCTAATTTTGGAGTTTTCTAATCACGGTTTATGTTATTCTTTGATAGTCTTTGATCATTTTCTTAATGCCTTTAACTTGGTTTGAAATACTAGTAGGTTGTAGTTTGATCTGTTTTGTGGGTGTGTCTTTTTAGAATGCTTGCAACATTTGTAGGAATGTTCTTTTGATTCTCATTTTTTTAATCATAACTTTGAACATGATTTGACCTTTTTCTCTTTGTGTAATTCAATTTCATGTGAGATTAAGCTTTGGTATACTTTCAGAGGAGGTGTGGTTGAAGGAAGCCTTTCCTCTTTTTGCATTTCATTTAGTTTTGAAAAATATTTCACACATCTACCAAGATTTTTTAACTGTTCTCCAGCACCCTCTCCCCACCAACTTTTATCTGAAAATTTTGCTTTCCAAATAAATTGTGTATATTTGAAGTTTATGTCATGATTCTATGGGATACCTATAGATAGTAAAATAATTATTGTAATGAAGTGGATTAATATATCTGAAAGCATCCAAAATTTACTTAAAAATACCTCATATAATATGATTTCATTATCTTTAGTCCTCATGTTGTACATTAGCCTGAATCCTGCTCAAATTTTGGTTGCAAGGATGCATTGGATGTTTGGTTTCTACATTTCAAAGGGATTTGTGTGTCTTCTTCATAATGTAATGCTGTCCCTTGGATGAGCCTGCTTTTGGGTAGAGGACAGCTCTTCCAAGAACTACTGTTCTCTAATTGTCCCACTAAATATCCAGGGAATACCTACCGGTTATTTTGGGATTTCATTTTCAGGTTCACTATGTATTTAATGCTTCCTTCTGCTTTCTCTTTCTTTTTTTAAAAATTGGTACATTTTAGGTGTACATTATGATCACATTCATCATTAGGAATTTGTACCTGTACATGATATGTCTTAGTTCTTCTTTTTCCCTACTCTCCTCCCCTCCCTTCAACCTCTCCATCCCTCCCTATTTACAAAAGCTTTGTTTCCACTTTTTCCTTCTTTTCTCATATTTTTTATTTCCCTTCTTTCCTTTCCCACACTTCCCCTTACTTCTCCTTCCCCTTTGAAACTTTGCTTCCTATTTCACATTACCTATTATACATTTTGATCCTCAAAATGTATAATAATGTATAAAACTTTCATTTTCTCACTCCAGAGAGACAATTTAGTATTTACACATGTGTGACCTATTTATTTCACTTAAGAGTATGGCCTCAATGTGGATCCATTTAGCTATAAGTGTGTCTAGTTTATCATTCTTTATGGCTGAGTAGTACTCCATTTTATTAAAGAAAACCCCATCTTCTTTATCCAGTCACCAGTTGATGGGCATTTGGGTTGTTTGCAAGATTTAGCTGTTACAAACTGTGCCACTGATAAACATAGGTGCACATATATCATTGTGGTATAATGCTTTTAATTCTTTTAGGAAGATACCCAGCAGGGGAATACCTGGATCAAATAGAACTTCCAATCCTAGTTTTTTGAGGAATCTCCACACTGATTTCCACAGTGGTTGCACCAGTCTACAGTCTCCAATAGACTTGTGTCTTCACCCTGCTGCATCGTGACTAGCACCTATGGCTGGACAGCCAACATGGAGTGGATCATGAAGGCCCAGGTCCTCCATGACAGCTCTACCATGGGTTACATGATGGTCAAGAAGCACCTGGAGATCAGCCCTGACCACCTCATTGTGGAGATGCTGCAGCAGACGGCTGAAGCTGACATGAATGCGTTCTCTTTCACTGACAGTGACTCTAGGAAGACCAGGTCGTGTTTGATATTTTTTCTCTACCTGCTAGTTCTTGAGGATGGCTGGGGACCGCTCACCAGGTTTATCATACATGTAGTCCATGGGGTTTTGTTTATACTATCAAGGTCTTCCATTTATCTTGCTGTGGAAAGCTACAGATATTAAAAAGCTATGCTACACTATTA